CCACATTTAAGTTTAAAGGATGTTGTCAGAATCTTCTTTTTTTATTAATTTTAATTTTTATTTTTGGTCTTTTGAGACAGGGTCTCCCTGTAGCCCCAGCTGACCTGGAACTCACTGTGTAGCCCAGGCTGGCCTTGAATTCACAGAGATCCATTTGCCTCTGCCTCCCCAGTGCTGGGATTAAAGGCATGCACCACCACACCTGGCCTTTTTTTGGTTACATTTTTGTTTATTTATTGTATGTGCATACTTGTAAGTTTGCTTGTACACATGTGTGCTCTTAGGAGTCAGTTTCTTTCTTTCTTTCTTTCTTTCTTTCTTTCTTTCTTTCTTTCTTTCTTTCTTTCTTTCTTTCTTTTTTTGGTCTTTTTGAGTTTTTTCTACCATGTTCGACCAAGGGATCTAACTCAGGTCATCAGACTTGGCAGCAAGTGTTTTTTTCTGCTGAAACATCTAGCCAGCCTATTACCAGACACTTTCCAGAGAGTAATAGCACCAACTCCCACCTCATCTGCCCATCTATGGCAGCTACCTAGGTTGGTTTTCAAGAAATTTCACAAGCTGGCTACCAATTACCTTTCCAATTTTACCTCCGCTCTCTTCCCTATGCCCCACCCCCCTTGCCCTTTTACCCCCTTTCTCCCTCTGTTCTCTCACTGGGGATTGAAGCCAGGGCCTGCTAGGTAAGAGCTCCACTACTAAGCTGCATACACTTAGCTCTTCCTCCTGTCTTTCCTCTTTCCTTCCTTCCTCCTTCTTTTTTAGTTTTATTATATAAACAATAGTTTATATAATGTATAATAGTTTATTATATAAACAATAAAATCAATTAGACAATTACATTTATTTATTTATTTATTGGTCTTTTTGAGACAGGGTCTCCCTGTAGCCCCAGCTGTCCTGGAACACACTATGTAGACCAGGCTGGCCTTGAAGTCACAGAGATGCACCTGCCTCTGCCTCCTGAGTGCTGGGATTAAGGGCGTGCGCTACCCACGCCCAGCCCTTATTTTTATTTTATGTGTATGAGTGTATTGCTTACATGTATGTAAGTGTACCTGTGTTGTGCAAAGCCTGTGGAGGTCAGAAGAGGGCATGGGATCCTCTGGAACTGGAGTTACAGAGAGTTGTTAGCCACCATGTGGGTGCTGGGAATTGAATCCCGGTCCTCTGGAAGAGCAGCCAGTGCTCTTAACCGCTGAGCCATCTCTCCAGCCCTATTTATAAATTTAAAAATATTTTATTCTTTTTATTTTATGTGTATAAGTGTATTGTCTGCATGTATGTAAATATACCTGGGTCATGTAATATCTGCAGAGGCCAGAAGAGGGCATCAGATCCCCTGGAACTGGAGTTACAGATGGTTGTTAGCTGCCATGTGGGTTCTGGGAACTAAACTTGGATCCTCTGCAAGACCAGCCAGTGCTCTTAACCACTGAGCCATCTCTCCAGCCCCAATAATTAAATTTTCAAAATTTAAAATAAATATGGACTGGCTAACAACTATCTGTAACTCTAGGTCCAGGGGAATCTGACACCCTCTTTTGGTCTCTGTGGGAACTGCATGCACGTGATACACTTTCATATACACAGACAAAACACTGATACATATATTTTTATATATTATTTTTATTTTATGTATATGAGTGTATTGCCTGCATGTATGTAAGTGCACCCATGTCATGCAATGCTTTCAGAGGTCAAAAGGCACCAGATTCCCCCAGAACTGGAGTTACAGAATACATGTGGGTGCTGGGATTTGAACCCAGATCCTCTGCAAGACCAGTCAGTGTTCTTAACCACTGAGCCATCTCTCCAACTCCGATACAAATACATTTTTAAAAATATTTTTATTTATGTGTGTCTGTGTATGCCAATGAGTATAGTAGCCTGCAGAGCCCAGAAGAGGGCTTCAAATGCCCTGGGGCTGGAGTTATAGGTGGTTTCTAGCACCCACATTGGTTATCAAGTGCTCTTAAGTGGTGAGCCATCTCTCCAGTCCCTTGATTGCTTCTTAAAGGTGAGAAACAGTTCCAGGTGCAGGGCAGTAGAAGCAAAAGGAGCATCAGTGATGATGGAAATTTAAAGTTAGGCAGGGTATTAGAAAGTTCTGGCTTTGCTATTAAATTTTTCTAAGAACCATATGGAGTGTTGTTTTTTTTCCTGGGCTGCATTTGCCTATTTTATTTCTAACTACTTGAAAGGCTAAAACAGGAGGATCGCTTGAGTCCAGGAATCTGAGACTACCCTTAACAATAGAATGGGACCCCATTTCTTTAAAAAAGTGAGGAGAGGGTGGTGGCTAGGATCATAGCTCATTTAGTAGTGTGCCTGCCCCGTGTGCACAAAGCCCTGGGTTCTACCATCAACGCCACATTAACTGGGCATAGTAGTACACATCTCTAATCTTAGAACCTGGGTGTTAGAGACAGGAGGATCAGAATTTCAAATTCATCCTCAGATACACAGCAGCTTTGAGGCTAGCCTGGGGTCATAAGACATTGTCTCAAACAGGGGAAAGGCTGGGCATGGTGCCCATATCAGAAGTGTCGGCATTCAGGAGGCTGAGGTAGGGGGATTTTTGAGAGTTGAGGACAGACTGTGCTAGTGTGAAACCTTGTCTCAAGAAATCAAAACAAGGAGTTGGAGAGATGCCTGCTCTTGCAGAGGACCCAGATTCAGTTCTCAGCACCCATGGTGGTTAACAACCATCTGTAACTCCAGTTCCAGGGGATCTGAAGCCTCTGAGGGCATTGCACAACACAGGTGCGCTTACAGGCAAAGCACACATATACATAAAACAAAGAAACAAACAAAAACCCTACCCAATATATTAAATAATAAATAATAATTCAATGCCTTAGCATTGTGCCCAGCACATAATAAATGGGCAGAAAGTGTTAGTATTATCATTAAGCTGTCAAGGCAAGAACAGTTCTACTGAGTGATACAGGCACAGGGCTCAGTTTGGATAACTGTCCATCAATAAAAAAATCCAAACGGGACTTCATCAGAAAAATCATTATTTTTCTTAGTATATAGTAAAATGATGTGATTCATTTTGTGTTGTTTTATATTTGTCTTGACTCTGCTCTAAAATTATAAGAAAAACAAGCAGGTAAGTTTGAATGCTGTTCTTGGAGAGTGCCTAGAGGCAATTTCCAAAGCAGGAGTGACTTTGGATTGTGGGGGTCAGGGAAACTGAGGCATGGGGGAACCAAACTTCATCAAAACCCTTCCCTATTGTGAAATCCCAGCATTCAACAAACTTCTCTTCTCTCACTTTGCAACGGCTTGTCACTTGGAAAACTACAGATCCTTTATTCACTCAAAATGTATGTATTGACTCCTTTCTGCCCCAGCCCTTCTATAGACTCTGGTTATCAAAGCTCTAACATTTTATTTCATGTGGAATCAAAGAAAAAAATTCTTATTACATTAAAATATTATTTATTGAGGCTGGAGACATGACTCAGCGTTAAGAGCACTGACTGTTCTTGAAGAAGACCTAGGTTTGAATCCCAGCACCCATACGAAGGCTAACAATCTTCTTTAACTCCAGTTCCAGAAGAACAGATGCCCTTTTCTGTCCTCACCCGGCACTGCAGGACACGGCATAGTTACACACATAAACACACAGGCATAACACTCATGCACATAAAATAAAAATAAATAGCCGGGCGTGGGGGCACTCGCCTTTAATCCCAGCATTTGGGAGGAAGAAGCAGGCAGATCTCTGTGAGTTCGAGGCCAGCCTGGTCTACATAGCAAGTTCCAGGTTAGCTGGGGCCACAGGGAGACCCTGTCTCAAAAAGACCCAAAAAAATTAATTAATAATTAATTAATTAATTAATTAAGCTCAGTAGTCAAGAGCACTTGACCTGGGTTCGAATCTCAGCACCCACATGGCAGTGGAAAACCATCTGTTAAGTCCAGTTCCAGGGGATTCTATGACCTCTTCTACCCTCTGCCCTCTGTGGGCATTGCAGGACATGGGTGCACTTACATACATGCAGACAATACACTCATACACATAAATTATTAAAACTATCAAATAAAATATTAAAGAAACAACTACATCACGGCATGCTTCAGTACCCACATGGCAGCTAACAACCATCCATAACTCCAGTTCCTGGGGAATTGATGGCCTCTTCTGACCTCCATGAGGACTGTACCACATGGTGCACTTACACATATGCAAGGCAATACACTCATACACATAAAATAAAAATAATAAATATTTAAAAAATAAAATTTTAATTTTTTGGAGGCTTGGGGAGTGCATTTGTGGAAGTCAGAGAACATTTTAACGGAGTTGGTTCTCTCCTTCCACCACGTGGGTCCCAAGGATATAACTCAGGTCATCAGGTTTGGAAACATGAGCCTTTTGCCCTCTGAGCCATCTTGTGCCACCAAAGAAAACTTTACATAAACTCAAAGACTTCTTGTCTATCTTGGGTTTAGCAAAGCCAGGGACTCCAGCTTAAGGAAACCTTGGTTTATCTAGTTAACGCGTTGGGCGTCTCTTAGTTGTAACTGGTTGGCTCTAACTTGGTGGTCGAGCATTTCTGTGAGGCTCCTGGAGTGACTTGAGGGAGTCCTGGCAGTCAGCAGCCCTGGATACCAAGGAGGACCTAGTGCGGGCGCTGGGAATCGGATTTGAGGAGGGTTCCGTCCACAAGGCTAAGGAGACACAGCACCCCCTACAGCGAGTGTAGATTGCAGGCCAAGGCTATCACGTGCCCCACCTCCTGCCAATAGTAAAGTAACAACCGCTTCCTCTGTTCCCCATGGAAACAGCCCCACCCACTGACCCTCCCGCTCCGGTCAGTGGTGATCTTTTGGCTTCTTATTGGGTGTTCTACGTGACAATCAAAAGTCTGCTGCTTCTGGGTGGATAGCTTGCTTCCGCTAGGCAAGCGAGTACACTGGTTCGTGCGCAGAGGCTGGCTTAGTCTTATCCAATTACCCTTTCGTTGGGCGGGGCTTAGTGACGATTCAGGGCCAATCAGAGGCGGCGAGGCTTTTGCAACTCCACGTCGGCAGCAGCTGCGGGGCAAAATGGAGGCGCTGATTTTGGTAGGAGCCGGAGGGGCGGAGGAGCCGTCGGGGTGTCCAGAGGGGCCGGGAGTCGGGGTTCAGCGTCTGGGAAAGGGGAGAGAGGGGTTCCGGGGAGGCCTCGGGGACCAGAGCTTCTGCTGGCCCGAAGAATAAGTGCGTGGCCTAGGCCGGACCCAGAGCCTCGGCTTAGAGTAGGAAGTCTTGCCGGGGAGAGGGCCGAGAGGCGGTGGTAGAAAGTTGGGGAGAGCATGCAGTGTCCTTAGGATCCATACAGTTCTAAATACGGATCGGGGTCCTCCAGGTGCTCCCTTTGTTAGCATTGTGGATCAGCCCGATTTGAATTCCCCAAACCTCTATCTTTGCCCTCAGTTGTAAAAACAGAATAGAGATGTTTTGTCAGCACTGGCTTCTGGTCGCTGTCAGACCTCGATGATCTCCTGGTAATTCCCTGTCACTTGCCTTCAAAAAACTGTTTTCGGTTTCCTGTTAATCCTTAGTATATAATTCTGTTCGTGCTTGAGAATAAGCATTCCATTAATTGTGGACTATTTTCCCTTGCTCCTTATTTTGTCCTCCTCTTTCAGACTTCAGGAACTCTTTCTGTAGGATCTACAGTAGGACTTCTCCCTTTCTGGTTATGTGAAAATTGTGGTGGCTACAGGAGTGTGTCAGCTCTCTCATCGATGTGCTTGATCTTTTTTGTTCAAATACAACCCTGCCCCTTCTTTAGAAAGGGACCAGAGCAGGTCTCTCAAGTTCACTGGTTGGAAATTTGGAGATGTGTGATTGTGAATCTGACTGTATCTGTGTAGTCTGTGTAGGTGTAGGAATTTTAACGTCTAGCTTTATTCCTTGAATTCAATTCCAGGCCTCTTTCCAAAGAAGCTTCCATGGCTTCTGTTTTCCTTTAGATCCCTTACATATATACGGATCAAGCCCTTGTCAGTAAAAAAGAATTGGTTTGGGGCTGGAGAGATGGCTCAGCGGTTAAGAACACTGGTTGTTCTTGCAGAAGACCCATGTTCAAATCCGAGCACCCACATGGCAGCTAACAACTGTCCTAACTCCAGTCTCAGGGGATCCAACAGCCTCTTCTGACCTCCTCGGGCATTGCACAACGTGGGTGCACTTACCTACATGCAGATAATATGTGCATACACATAAAATAAAAATAAATAAAACTTTTTTTAAAAGTTAAAAAAATAGGTTTTTCTCTCTCTCTCTCTTTCTTTCTTTTCTTTTTTGGTCTTTTTGAGGCAGGGTCTCCCTGTAGCCCCAGATGACCTGGAACTCACTATGTAGACCAGGCTTGTCCTGAACTCACAGAGATCCACTGCTTTTGCCTCCCGAGTGCTGGTACTAAAGGGGTGTGCCACCACACCAGGCTTACTTTCTCCTTCTTTTCAAATGTCAAAAATTTATTCTCATTGTATGCGTTGGTCAAGTCTAGGCAAAATGCTTAACATCTGAGTAATTTTAAGTATTTTCTGTACTGGTTAATCTTAATCTGGGAACAGACTTGGATAGAATCTGAGGAATTGGTTGCCTTGGAAGTTTTTTGCCTTTTTAGCCAGATATGGAAGCTGGTGGTACACACCTGTGATCTCAGCACTCAGGAGACTGAGGGAAGAATATTGCTGCAAGTTTGAGGCCAGCCTGGGCTACGGTGTGAGATCCATACTAACCTGGATTACAGTAAGATCTTGCTTCAAAAAACCTAAATTAATTAATTAATTAAGTTAAAAAAAGCTGTGTTAAAATAATAAGATGAGGAAGATGATACTTGGGGAAGCTCCCCTTTTACCAGTGGGTCTCTTCGGCTAGGGCTGTGGTCCATTGGTAAGAGCACTTGGCTTTAAGGCCCTAAATTTGGTCCCCCGCACTGAAAATGGCAACCCCATCACCAAAGTCTGTGGGAGAGCTGAGGAAGTTATGTGGGGTGCTCTGTCTCTCGTTCTCTCTTCCCTCAGTTCTCTGCCCCTTCTTGCTTAGTGGATCAGCTTCAGCTTGTTTCTTCCCCATTCTTCCTATTTAAGTTGTAGCTAATCTGTTTCATTCACAGATCCTTGCTAACTTGCTCAGACCCCTTACCTTTGCTTTAAAAACCATACTTATTCTTTATCATGAGCAACCGGTGTAATGGAATTAAGGAAAACTGAGGTGCAGGGAAGGGGGCTTGTTCTAGGAGCTAGTGTCAAAACTAGATTTAATTTTGATTTCCTCATTCTCCCAGAACATCTGGAATCTCATGAAGCCTAGGTTGGGCTTGAACTTGTAGTCTTCCAGCCTTACCAAGTTTCTCTGTACATTCTCTCAGCATGGACTTTACACCTCTTCAATGTGCAGAATTGTCCTTTTAGCCATAAGTTGTATTAAAAAAAAAAAGATAGAGCCTGGTGTAGTGGTTCATGCCTTTAATTCCAGCGCCTGGGAGGCAGGGGCAGGCAGATCTCTGTGAGTTCAAGGCCAGCCTGGTCTATATAGCAAATTTCTGGCCAGCTGGGGCTACAGGGAGACCTGTCTCAAAAAGAAACAATGACCACCCAGGGTATCAGTTCCTGTGCTGATCTACAAGAGTTCTTGGCATCTTTCCTCCTCTGTGGTAGTTCTTTTCAACATTATTATTGCTTTGAAACAAAGTCATGTGGCCTAGGTTGCCCTTGAACAGCTGATGGTCCTGTTCCCACTTCCCAAAGCTGGGATTACAGGTGTGCATCACCATATCCAGCTATTGCTATTTTGCTGTTTTTCGACAGGGTCTTTTTAAAAATATATTATTATTATTTATTTATTTATTTATTTATTTATTTATCTATTTTTTGTCTTTTTGAGACAAGGTCTCCCTGTAGCCCCAGCTGTCCTGGAACTCACTATGTAGACCAGGCTAGCCTTGAACTCAGAGATCCACCTGCCTCTGCCTCCCGAGTGCTGGGATCAAAGGTGTGCGCCACCATGCCCAGCAGCCAAGACAGAATCTTCAAAAAAAATTTTATATTGGGCCTGGAGAGATGGCTCAGTGGCTACAACACTGGTTGTTCTTGCAGAAGACCCAGGTTCGAATCCCAGCACCCACATGGCAGCTAACAACTGTCCGTAACTCCAGTCCTAGGGATCCGACAGCCTCTTCTGACCTCCGCGGGCATTGCATAACATGGGTGCACTTACTTACATGCAGGCAATACATGCATACACATAAAATAAAAAAATAAAAATTTAAAAAAATTTTTAAAATTTTTTTATATTGTGTGTTTGTGTCCAAGGAGGTCAGAAGAGGCCAGCCTGGTCTACATAATGAGTTCCAGGCCAGCTGGGGTAAAAGGAGACCCTGTCTCAAAAAGATTAAAAAAAAAAAAAAAAATTTATATACTTTTCCTACCATTTCAACCTTTTAAACAAATTTTATGTGTACAAATACTTTCCCTATACATATGTAAGTGCACCCATGTGTGCAATGCCCATGGAGCCCAGAAGAGAGCGTCAAGTATCAAGTCCCCTGGAATTGAAGTTAGGGATGGTTGTTAACTCCCTCATGGATACTGGGAACCAAACCTGAGTTTATTTTCTTTTATTATTTTATTTTATGTGTGTGCATGTATTGCCTACATGTAGGTAAGTGCACCTGTGTCGTGTAATGCCTGCAGAGGACAGAAGAGGCTGTCGGATCTCCTGGAACTGGAGTTAGGACAGTTGTTAGCTGCCATGTGGGTGCTGGGATTCGAACCTGGGTCTTCTGCAAGAACAGTCAGTGTTCTTAACTGCTGAGCCACATCTCCAGCTCCCATTTCAGCCTTTCTCGATTGGACTTCTGTGAGGAAAATCAACCCTACTGCCCTAAAGCCTCCATGGTATGTAATCAGCCAATTGCTCTGTACCCTCTGTAGCATTTAGTCATATAGCACCCTTGGGAAAAGTGAGAAAATGGTTATTTAATTGTTTCCTGTGTTAGAACTGGAGAGATAGCTCAGTGGTTAAGAACACTGGCTGCTCTTGCAGAGGATTCAGGTTCCTTTTCCAGCACCCACATGACAGCTAACAACCATCTGTAACTCCAGTTCCAGGGGATTCGATATCCCTGTCTGGCTTCTGTAGGACTGCCTACACATGGTATACTTACATGCTTAACATGTAAGTGTATGTATAACTCATACACTTAAATTTTTTTTTAATCAAATATTCTCTGTGTTCCATGGTTCAGATGAGGTGCTGTTTCCTAAATCTCTGCTTGTCACTGCCCTCATGGGGCCATAGCCCCATCGGATTTGGATCCCCCTCTTCTCTCTGCTCCTGTTTCTCATGCCTTCCTGTGTACCCAGCAGCATTTCCTTATAGGTAGGACTTCATTTTCATTATGAAATGTTCAGGAAGGCAGATATGGTGGCATATCTGTAATCGTAGCACCCAGGAAGCAGATGTAGGAGGATCACGAGTTTGAGGCCAGCCTGAGCTGCATAGCAAGACCCCATCTGAAAAGAAAAAAACAAAAATCCAGGGAATCTTGCATGTTCTACTGAGCTAGAGTTTGCTATACTTGGAGGTATTGAAAAGGCTCCCTCACATTTCTCTTTGTTTTTGTTGTTTTAGAGTAATGGGGTCTCACTATGAGGCCCTTGTTGACCTGGAACTCACTCTGTAGATCAGGCTGGCCTGAACCGATAGAGATTCACCCACCCCACCTCCCAAGTGGCAGGATCAAAGGTGTGCACCACCACACCCTGCCATTGGGTCCTACTGGATTTAAGCCTTAGCTCGTAGCAGGACCTGTCTGGTCTCTGGGCTTGTCTCAGCCCACAGCCTGTCTTTGGCCTCAGGCTCTTCTCTGCCCCTCTGTCTCAGTTGTGAGTGGAGAGGAGTCTTCAGGTCTCCGTTCTCCATGGATAACCCCGAATCTTCAAGTTGACGACTTAACACTTTCCTTCTGCCTTTGCTTTTTTCCACCTTCAAAGCTGAATTATTCTAGCAGTTTGGATTCCCGCCCTCCTTTTTTTTTTTTGTCAGTGTCTTACAGGTTGGACCTTAAT